ATTATTTTATTTAAAAAATACTAAATACAATTAAATTTTCCAGGCAAATTTGCCTGGAATACAGTTTAAGGGATAGAATTTATAAAAATTTTTTTATCAATTCTGACCCTTTTCGCAGCACCAAACCCATATGCTAGCCATTATTGCTTATGAAAATTAGAATTATGAGAATGCATCGCCTTATTTATCTATAATGAGTACAATTAACTTTTTAATTAAGCATGATTAGTACTAAATATATTTAATTATAGAACCTTGCCTTGCTTGTATCATATGGTGGAAAATAGGAACATTAAAATACTTCTCTCATATATTTATCTATTTGAGATTTTTAAATTATTTACTTTTACGAGAGTTTTAATTGGTTCTGCAGTGAAAGTTCCTCTATTTGACATAGATAAAGAACATTAGGAGATACTATTTATGATAGATAGCATATAAAACAATAAAACATACACTTGTATTGCCAATAATGCCTTTAATACTGATATATAAATTGAATACATCTGTACATTATTTTTTAAACTCCACTTGAAATTATGATTGAATCAGTATAAAAAAAAATGCAGAAAAAAAATTAACCCTTAAACTCTTTTTTTTTCTTACAAGTTCAAAGCAAAGTTTATTATCCAAATATTTAAAGAATATTGCTTCAAAGTTACCCTCTTCAATTGTCTAGTTCACAAACATAACTTCATTTTTTACTATTTATTGCTACATATACCTTTGTTTGGTTCCTATTTATTGCTACACATACCTTCGTTTGGTTCCTATTTATTGACACAAACATACTTTCGTTTATTGCAAAAACATACCTTGCTCCTATTTATAGCTTTAATTTACTTAATAATGTTACTTAGAAATAGATTCAAAAAAAGCATCCCACAAAAATCTTACGATTTACGTATACGTTCTAAAAAAATTTACTTAAATGACTACACATTCTCGGACGACCTATACCACAATAATTTGAACCTACCAGTTAGTCATGAACCTAATAACTGCTCAAGTATTAGTAACCAACAATTTAAATTTAAATATAATAAAGTTAATGATTTTCAACAGCCTAACCATGGAAATATCGATTAAGAACATGGCAACCAACATATGAGTAGTGGCAGTTTGTATGATGAGAACAATATGGATGCTAATCAGGAATTTGGCGACCAACATATGAGTAATGGCAGTTTGTATGATGAGGACAATATGGATGCTAATCAGGAACTTGAAGATAACTTGGATTATAGTGACCTAGAAAGCATATATAACGGAAATGAATTTAGCGATGATATAAATAGTGGTAGTTTAGATGAAGAATGTAAACCAACATCAAATGATATGGATGATGCACCAAAAACATTTGACGGGACGAAATATGACATAAATTGGGATAACAAGAGTCCATTCGGTTTCTTTAAAAATTTTACAAATATGACCATATTCACATGGGCTACTAGATACATGATTAGTAAGTAATCGCCTTATTTCTATTTACATATGTAAAATTTAATAATTTATGGTTTTTTTTAGCGACCACGGCATATCAAAACTTAATACAAATTTTGCTTCACCCTTGATTCGAAAGAAGGCATTTAACTACTAACTTACAGTGTCTTAAAAAACAACACGAACGGTTACTATTAATGAAAATTTTAAGTCATATGGTTCCGATAAATACCAAGAGAACATCATCGACATCCAAAGATTTCACTCGAGTCTATTATTTTTCTTTAATCGAACATATTCAACGCATATTAAAAAACCCATTCCTTAGTCCCCACTTATATTTTGGTCCTGGTATTTTTCAAAATCATGCAAAGAATTATGGGAAGGTGATTTCTGGGCTGAATCTCCCCTTTTTGGTCTGTCAAATTTAATTACGGCACAAGGTATGATTAGTTTTATTAACATTAGGGTTGGCAAATTTGTTGGGCAAATTTTGTAAGTTACATTTTAATTTACACAATAACTTACATAATTTTGCAAATTTCCACTAAGATACTTATTGTAACTTATATGTAACTTATATGTAGCAAAATACTCAACCCTAATCAACATTTCTATTATGTTTTATACAGTTTAAGTAATTTTACTTTTAATTTATTCTAGGTTCATTTAATTGTGGAGATTTTGTTAAATATTATTCGACTTCTAAAACTGTCAAAGTTGGTCGTATCAAGTCTTTTGTCATTGTAGATAAAAAAATAGCTACTCGAGTTCAGCGATTATTTTCTTATAAACAGATTCCGTAATACTTACGTTCAACTTCACGCTCATTACAAAAACTATATTTAGTTGAAGAATCGGAACCATTTATTATTAACCTCTCATCTTTAATCTGTTGTCTAAATGTGTAGCTTCAGAATCAGACTGTTCTACCTAAGTTTGATTTCTTTGTCAGCAAAATATTATATAATTATAATGGCAGGTGGAAGCTTCATTCAGTAAAGTTATGCCACCAACACCCTTCTGAGCATATATCTCTCCAACAACCAACCAATTCAAGTATGCCGGTTCTTAAGTTTTATTTGAACTTATATTACAACAATTTTGGCACCTTTAGAAATACCTATCATTCTTTAGGTGGAGTTTATTTGCAGATCAGTAATATGCCATGGCGATTAAGGAAAAAACTGCGAAATCATTTTGTAATTAGACTAGTGCCATTTGGTGGAAATTTAAAAAACTTTATAAAAGTCTTTATTAGAGAGGTTCAACAACTTGAGCAAGGCTTTGTCATGAATATAAACGGAATTGATTGTTGGATTTCAGGTGGACTGGGTATGGCTACGGCAGATTTGCCACAAGAAAATGATATTGCAGGTGTGCTGCGCCACAATGCTAATTTGGGGTGTCGCAGTTGTAAGGCCTCCAAGGATGAATTAACAGATATTACATTTGACATATATTCTAATGGACGATACCATCAAATAACCGATCAAGAATTCAAGCATATAAATGAACAACCTACAATTTCAGCATGATTACAAATTTCTTCACAATACGAATTACATTTACTACCAGGTCCACTTGATTTAATCCTTCATAATCATCACCAATATACACCACAGGATGCATATCACGCTGTTGCAGGAAAAATAGCACGACTTCTTGATTGCACTTGTCTTATTCTAACAAATCAGGATGAAAGTAATGTTATTAATTATTGGAAGAATTTTGAGGTTCTGGCAAAATGGGCTCATTTGCCAAATTTGATTTCTCATAGACATTCATTTATGATGTCAGACACCTTACATCTCTTAATGATACTTCTTTTCATATTAAAATGTTGTTTAACAATTGACGACGTTAAGTATATATTTTTAAATCAAACAAAGGATCGGTTAAATCTTTCTCGCAGAACTGATGTTATAAATTGTTTGATTCAAACTTGGGAAATTTTCACAAAAGCCAGTAAAATGGTCTTTTCATTAGTTATTAATAGATCATATGGATATCATCAACTTCAGAAAATTTTAAATAAGGAGTTTGATGCATTGATTAAGGTATTTTCTTCTTATTTATTTATCTTATAAGTTTTAAGCATTTTAATTAAATATTTAAATACCGTAAATTACTGTGCAAGATACTCTTGATTTATACCCTCTTGATTATACCGGGTATGTTTCAAGACTATTGTTTGTAGTGGTTTGTAAAAGACCGGCATGGGCAAAAAAAGTCTTGAACATAGTAGACATGACAACACTGCCCGGGGTATAAATTAAGGTCTGTTGTTACGTAAAATGTAAAATATCTGAATATTTTGTACAGTAATTTATGATACTTTATTGATTTAAATAACTACTCAAATTTTTTATACTGGTATACTGTATTTAATTATATAAGTTATTTCCAGATAGTTTTCAAAATCTCCCAAACCTTCATGTGAATCGACACCTGGTAGATTATGCATGCCAATATGCAACGTGTGTAAATACAGCAGTTAGCGTTAAAGAAATGGTTCACAGAATCTTTAAGTCGATCGTACCACATACGAATAAGCGCAATCTTGAACTTACATTACTTCGGCAAGTTAATACTTTGCAGATGTTGAGATACTTAGCAGATGGAGGAATAGATAACCGTATTAGCAATATAGCACTACAACTGTTTAAAGAATTAATTATTGAATCACAATTACGTCACTTATTGTCAGGCTGGTGCATTGACAATAGTAACTTTTCAATACACACATCTCAGAAATTTGCTCATGGTAATAAGAGATCTAAAGTGTTATAATTCAAGGTTTAATTAATGTTAATCAAATTTCAATAATTAGATGAAATTACTAATTTTACGAGCTTTAATTGTTCTGAAATTAAACTGGGATCAAGGTGGGATAAACAGAAAATTGAAAGTGCGGGGTTCATTTCTGATGATCTTGAAATCAATGGGCTTTTAGTAAGCATTATGCATGTATATTCTTCATATTTTTCTACTGAACAAGCACTATTAAATATGAAAATCAAATATTATCAAAGTGTTACTTATTCAATAGTAGAATCTAATGGTGATTATCAAGACGTAAGATTCTGTGTTGGTGAAGCCATTGAAACTACTCTTTCTAATGACGGGCAACCTGCATTCGGAATAGTCAAGGGGATAATCGAACATAAGTGGAACGACAATCAACTTTATATATTTATTTATTTGGAATAGCTGGAATCTCTAAATAAATTTGATAATTATTAAACTGTCCTATTTATCGGCTTCAAAGTGCTTGTAATAATTCTTGGGATCGAATCCATCCAATTTCCATCGTGTCAAAATTACCAAACACTCCATTCATTCACAATTGTAAATCAAGATGTTCTCCAATACAACATGATGTTGCAAATCGTGAATATATTCGCAACGACTTCTTTTTTACAGCAATTTAATTTTTTTTTTTTTTTTTTTTGAAAACCTTTAGATATATAATTTACAATGAAACTTTTGCACATTTTAGATATTATGATATATTTCGTGAATAACTTTTAAGGTTTAATATCAACTTTCATATTTTACAAAATTTCAAAAGACCAAGTCATAGCAAAAAATAGTGCATCTTGATTATCCAGATACTCTGAAGTTGCTACTAGTAGAAATGCAACGTTCTATGTGGATTATGATGGTATGAAAAAGTGTGATATATAACATTTCAAGTAATGCGCTTTCCAACATTTGATGATGAAGAACCACCATTGGACTATGGTGATAATACCCTAAACATCGACCAATAAAGATTAGGATAGTGTTGCTGGTTTTATGATTACAAACCATTAGTGGACACAAAGGTTGTGAATGAATCAACATGCAAACTATATAAGTTTAATTTACTTTTATACTGTTTGGCACATCAACTACTATCAGACCTTTCAGATTCGAACAATTCGATCTAAAGTTATTTTTTACTACAAAAGCTTTATATATGACAATTTCTGGAGAAGCAAGTTCGAGCCACTTTATAGAGGTATGGCATCTTTAATAAGTTAATTAAAATTTTTTTTTTCGTATCATGTTCAAATCGAATCAATCAGAAAAATTATGTAAATATTAAATTTTAAATTATAATTTCGTTATTTATTAAATATGGTTACAGACAATAACTGGAACGAATTTTTGCCAGCTTACAACACTTTCGACCGTTATATTAGAAGACTTGACAATAATCTTCAAAAATTTCAAGACAAAAAAGTAACAGGTTTAGGAATAATAAGCACTACTACAATAGGCAGCTTGTCTAGCAGAGAAAGCACACGGAAGCAACTTCAAAAATGAAAAAACTGCAATAGCCAGCTTGTCTAGCGAAGAAAGCAACTTCAACAAATGAAAAGGAAAGGAAAGTAATTGTAAGTGAAAAAACTTAACAAACTTAATTTTTTCAATAACACTATTTTTTTGTATCAACACAGATATTCGAAGAAATTTCACACCTATGTATTGAAATATTTATAAAACGCTAATATTAAAAGAACACTGGCCACTCTCGCACACTAAATTGTTACATACATATCTTTAATAAACTTTCTGATCATATCAGAATCAGATGCTTTACCAATGATACTACCGACAATTAAAGTGAAAGCATGATTAGAAATAATATCCATTTTCTCCTATTAGTTTTGTGGTATGTAGGATAAAACAATGGATATATAAAGGTTTGCTTCAAAGATCTCATTTTTAATATCAAATAATGTAGCTAATGATAGCTTAAAAAATCACTATCTTATAAAGTTAGAATTCGACATTGATTTTTTCTCCGAAATAGAACTAGAATATGGACAGTAAAAGGCATTGAATTACTAAAGATGGGTAATGCCCATAATATTATATTTATTACTGAAATAGAATCGGAATTAAGAAAACCGAAGTTACCAAATGTGAACATGTAGGATTGGAATTGAGAAGAATGAAAAGATGATACCGAATAGTCGTGAGATTCACAGAAGTGTGATGCCATTAGAACTTTTAATGACAGAAATAGTTATGAAATTAGCAAGGAGTTACTAATAGGTGCTTAGTGTTGGAATCAAGGAAAAAAAATGAAGTTTAGATAGTTTAACAAATTTGAAAAGTTGGTATTGAAATTATGTATATACAAGATATTTATTAATTTATGCATATGATTATATATTACAATTATTTTCATATTTTATTACAAATAATTGTTTATAAAATGTAAATATATTACAAGTCTTTTCATAATGAAATGCAAATATATTGTAAACATAATTAAATTAAAATGCTATTAAATGTGCTAAAATTAACCAATTTTATCAAAAATTATGTAAATAAAAAGTTCATTATCATCACCGTTAAGTGGTTTAATTTTAGCAATAAAATTAGATAAAAATTGGTATTTTTTACCAAGTTTGATTTTTACAAAAATTTGCAAAGAAATGTATTATACGTATACATTTATTTTTTTTTCATAATAAGGGATTAGGCATAGTGATTAGACCCATCCAAAAAATCATAACCTGGGTGACTCGTCGGGTGACCCGGGGTCACCCGGGCTGATCAATGAGCCCACTCGGGCATCCACTTATTTGCGCAAACACCTAAAAGAAGAAAAGGCGAAAATACTCAAAACTCGACTAATTAAAAATGTTGAAAACAAAATGTTGCATATAATGGGCAACAATCTATTGCTATAGCCTATAATTTTAACGCCCTAACTCTAAACTTCTATCTGTTAGTGTTACAAATCGCAAAATTTTTCAATCGATTAGTTGGTTAATTATTTTGCCTGCAACTAATCGATTAATCGACGAGTTGCAACTAAGCGATTAATCGATGAGTTGCAACTAAAAGATTATCGCGGTTTGGAAGTAATCACGATTTCTGATTACAGTACTGATTTCCGATTTCTTCAACAATTTTTTATTTTGTAAAAATTTTATTATTTTTTATGGAAATAAAAGTTAAATATTCATATCATTTTGTAATATATTTGCAAAGATAGGTGTTGCGAATTAAAATATTCAATCAAATTTTTACAAATAATAAATGCGCAAATTTTGTCAAATCTGAAGTCAAAAAAAAGTTAAAGAAATCGGAAATCAGTGATTACTTTTTTTTTAATGATCTTCAAATTTCACATAATTTTGCAAACCGCAA